AAAAAAAAAAAAAAAAGAACCCTGCTCCCAATTCCAGCAATAGGAAAAGGCCAGCAGGCGACAACATCACAACTTTTGTTAAACTGCTCAGAGATCTGAGTCAGGAAGGAGCCAAGGAGCCAGAATCCTATTGAGCACAGCCTCCAAGGAGGGCCAGACACATGGACTCTAGTCTCCAGCAGAATGGGAGGAAGGGATGGTCGTCACAGAAGAAGTAGGGAGAAACAGGCTAAAATTTTAGCTCAGTCCTAAAAGTGTGTGCTGGCTCATCTGCTTAGAATGACCAGAAAAACCTGACACAAGGAGAGTTCATGCTCTCTCTCGAGTCTTCCCTACAGGACTCAACCCATGAGACCATGGGCTCCTTGGCTCCTATGAGCAATGCATTAAAGGGTCTCTTGGAAAAAGTAGACAATATGCACAAACAAAAGGGGTATTTAAGAAGAAGAGGGAAGGCTATTAAAAAATAATACACTCCCTTGTCCAAGTGCAACAGGGAACTCAGGGAGGACAGAAATGGAGAAGAAACCACAGCACTCGAGGTCAGTTAGTATGTGGCTATGATATACCAAAAACCAAACTCACTGCCATCGAGTCGATTCCAACTCATAGCAACCCCCTCTGGGTTTCCAAGGTGGTAAATCTCTATGGAAGAAGATAGCCCAATCTTCCTTCTGAGGAGTGGCTGGTGGTTTTGAACTGCCAACCTTTTGGTTGGCAGTCCAATGCCTTAGGCACTATGCCACCAGAGCTCCTTGGCCACGGGATACATATATATGCGCCGGTGGCATAGTGCCTAAGGCATTGGACTGCCAACCAGAAGGCTGGTCATGACATACAGAGTCTGGAATTTTAGTACCTTCTTAAGAGCAGGGGGGCAAGACACACCCTCATGAGGTAGGCAGTTAGAACAGAGCCCCCAGGCCATCACCAGAGCTGAGATAGCAACAAGGCCCCCAGGTGAGAGCTAGGACTGAGCATGTGCTGTGAGTGGGCACTGAGTTGTACTGGTCACTGATGACAAAGGCCTGGAACCCAGTTTGGAGCAGTCCATGTGTCTGTCTGTGTCACTGCTTCAAGTCTCTAGGGGATGTAGATATATGATTCCTATTTGAAGTTTCTCAGCACTTTATACATATATGTCACCCTACTGCCTTCTGGTCTCCATGGTTTCTGATGAAAAATAAGTTGTTAATCTTAAGTGAATCTTTGTACATGACAAGTTGTTATTTCTCTAGTTGCTTTCATGATTCTCTCTTTGTCTTTGGCAAACCACAGTGAGGACTGTGTGAAGGACAGACGTCCAGGTAAGCTGAGTGTGTGTGTGTGCATGTGTGTGTGTGTGTGCGTGTGAGTGTGGTGATGGTAGTGGTAGGGAACTTATTAGAACAACACTCTCAGCTCTGTTCCATCCCCTTAGTTAAACCTCATGCCTTATCTCACTGAGGGTTTCAGTCAGAGAGACTGGGCACGACTAGCTCAGTTCCCTGCTTTCCTCCCCTTTGCGATCTGCTACACATAGAGAGCATGTGGGACTAGCAGCTATCTCATCAGCACCAGGAGATCCCAGGAGACAACTGCAGAGTCTCGTCAAATCTTTGGTGGAAAGAAAACTGTGGACCTAGAATTCTATACCCAGCTAAACCATCTTCTGAAAAATGTGGGCAAAATAGGAAAACTCTCAGCCTTGATCCTCCCTGAAAACACAAGCAAAGATGTACTTTAAGCAAGTACACGGGTTCATAAGTAAGAAGGCAGGAGTAGGAGACATGACATGACTGTGTGCAAACAAAGTTGTTGTTGTTGTTGTTAAGTGCTGTCGTTTCCGACTCATAGCGACCCCATGCACAGCAGAACGAAACACTGCCCGATCCTGCGCCAGCCCCACAATCCCTGCTATACTTGAGCCCATCATCGCAGCCACTGTATCAATCCATCTCCTTGAAGGCTCCCCCTCTTTCGTCAACC